CTTACCTAAAGGGCTACATGTCCGAAGTTATTGCTACGTGTTCCTAATTAATCAATCTTTGTATATTTATTGATTCCTACAAAATTGGGCCATGTAATATTAAAATTAACACATTTTTCTGCATTGTTTACATATTTTTATATGCGCTTTGACATTTCTCCCTCGCAATTGCACCAAGATGACCTCACGCAAAAATTACGCTCATTGGCGCAATCTTGTATTCTATCATTCTTGGGTACTCTCAATCATGATGAAAACATAACAAGGTAAAACCACTGAGAGGCAGTCTGACGTTTGCCAACAATATAATTTTAAAATTCGAACTCAAGCTCACACACACATTCTCATTTTTAATCTCAAAAAAACCACAATTGTGAACAATTTCATTTTTTTATTTTAAATTTTATATGATTTTAAAATGTTTGCAAACGTCAGAAAAAAATTATGGCCGACGAATTGAGAGAATGATTTTATCTTCTAATGTTTTTATCATACTCTCAACACTGAAAGAATTAGAGGAGAAAGTGGAAAAACAAACGAACATACTGCAGTCTGTGTTTGAGGAGCTCTCATCCAGATTAACGGATATCAAGAGTAAACTCACAAAGTGGATCGACGATCAAATTGCTAGCATATCTGAGAAGACTGCGGAGTCTGCCGCCAAAATACCCTCACTCGAGGCGAGAGTAAGAAGTTTTGGGAGTAAGCTGGAATTGCTTAATAACCGGTTCGAGAGTCAACAAACGACGATCTCTCTTGCTTGCCGCAAACTGAGGGAGAAAACTTAAAAAGTGCGTTCAACCAGATTTGTCTATCGATTGATTTCTTGTTACCGAAGATAAGGGATATTTTCCGATCAAACCTAATTAATAGTGCTGCCGTCAAAGTTAAATTTCTCTCGCCGTTTGACCGTAACCTTACTCTTAGGCCTTTAGTGATTATCGCAAGAGAACCAAGCAGCCAGTTTCTCTTAGCGCAATCGGTATTGATGGACATCTTGGAATTTTTGAGAGTCTATCCGCTAGTAAGAGAAAACTTCTGCAAGAAGCGATTAAACTGAGGCGTGCAGGGAAACTGACGTCTCTATTTACATTGCGAGGTGCTGTGCATGTGCGATCGGATAAAGAACAGCCTGCAAAAAGATCGAAAATCAGACAGATTTGCAATGTTATTACGTTTGAAGCGAGCGTCGTTTAAAGTACAAAACTGCGTATCGTCATTCTGCAAAAACGCGTTACTGACTGCTCACACAAGCTCTCGGCTCAATCCTTATCCATTCGTCCTGAAATATACTAGCTAGAAATGCGATTGCTTTATAAAAAAGGGAACCATTTTGAAATATGAGTGTTTTTACGCTTAGAAAATAATTTCTACAACTTCACATACGCGGTTTTGCATTTTACTGATACGCGAATTTGCATTTTGTTGATACGCGGTTTTGCACTTTAAACGACGATATGTTATACTTATGTTATCTTATATAGCGTTTTCTTTTCTACACGAATATGTTGCCATACCGAGGTGCGAAAGTCGTTTAAAGTTGCACTTCGCCCTGTGAATTTGGCACCCTGCTTAAGGTTCAGTGTAGCCCTTCAGACTTACACAGGATCACAAACTGCAGCCCTGAAATGCAATCAGCTGTTTTCTCGAGCGCTAAACGGAGTGCAGCAAAATAGTTACAGGTAATATGAGAATGTTCTGATAGAAAAGTAAAAGCCGAAAATGCTAAACTTTTAAACAACGCTTTTTTTGCAGTATGGACAGAAGGCGAAACAAGACTCTTGCTGGATAAGTACGCTTCCTTTTTTCCGGACGTTGGGATCTTCGAGCAGTTAAAGACAAAGAAGGAAATGTGGATGAAGATTGGCGCTGAGTTCGACGGGAAAAGTTGGAAGCAGTGTGAAGAGAGGTATAAGACCATCTTGAAACGAAAAAAGGCGGCAGTGGAAAACAACAGCAGCTCAGGTGCAAAACGCCAAAAGCTGCAGTTTGAAGAAGAGCTAGAAAAAATTTGCAAACTGGATGATTCCATTGAACCGGCAATAAAACTGAGTAGCCAATGTGTAGTTAATAAAGAGGTCTCACCAAAAGAAAATTAAAGAAAGAAGAAAACGATGCAAGAAACTCTAGTTGAAATTGCTGCTAGGAAAGAGAAAGCCAGGGAGAAGCGACACAAGGAAAGAATTGAGAAAGCTACAAGAATCGAAAGCCTTATGGAAAAATGTTTGACTGAAAGCAAACCAGCTTAAACCTGTGGGTGTGCGCGATATAGTTATAAAATCAGGTTTGAATTGTATATGCTGCTTATTATCCATAAAGTTATAATATATATTTTTTAGCTCTTGGTTTGCAGGCTTCTGCAAATGGATGTAAAATGATTGCAAGTGCCTTTCGTTTCCGGCCGAACGTTTCGCCAAATAACATTTTCACCGGCGCCCTTCGCTCATTTACAACAACTGCCTTTTCTCCATCACCACATCATGTCATTGACGGCCAAATCCACATCACCTTTATACGGCGTGTTCGGAAACACTGCTCTTGCTAGTGGTTCGGATTTCGGAGCAACTTGAACAGCAACAACGGCACCAACAGAACATTCGGTTTAAGTAAGCAAATTCGAATAATAAGCGATTAAATGCTGAAAAATATACACATCTTTCTTCAGCCCTGACAAACCTGTACTTGTACAAACATTCCCCAAGCCATACAAATATACCCACATTGACGTTGCTGCCAGTGATTTTGTATTGCCAGATGAGCCGACCGTTGCACCAATCGTGGCATTGGCAAAAACACATTTATAGATTTAGGCGTATAACTAGCGTTTGCAATTATACGACAGTTGACGATTTATTTATTTCTTTTTAACTTGAATCCATTTTTATAATAATAGGATTCATTCGATAATAATATTATATATATATATATATATATATATATATATATATCACGATTGAAAGAATACAAAGCTTGCGCCGATCTCGCTATTCCTCTACATTTTTTCATGTGCTAAAAATCGTGCTTACCTAAAGGGCTACATGTCCGAAGTTATTGCTACGTGTTCCTAA